ATCCAAAATTCAATGTTTCGGACGCCAGTGGACGGCTTTTTTCCCGACTTTTTAACGGTTCAAAACGTGGTTCGAGTTATCGAGGGTAAAGTTATATAGAAAATGACCTGAGGGGAAACGAAAATTGGTTCGAATTAGCGGGAGTTCGAGTTATCGAAGGTTCGAGTTACCGAGGGTAAAATTCCAGTGAATGTATGGCGGAAATCCAGGGGAAATTAGCCTGCGTGGCAGGCGCAAAAAGGGGAGGGGGGAGGGTGGAGGGAGAAAGGGAAAAGAGAAGGGAGCGCCTGCTCTAAGAGCCTATGTTTTTGCATAACGCCCACCAATTTTCTAGTAATCCGATTACGCTTACTGTCAATCAAGTGCCACTACACTCGCCAATCAGAACGCAAGCCGGATCCCTGTGGTTACGCGAAAATTTATTTGATTTGCCGGGAACTCACGTTGCATAAATATTAATTTTATCGAAGCGAGAAATTCTCACTTCTGGACAACCAGAAATTTAACGTGGAAATATCCGCGACTCCCACGAAAAGTTCAAAACGAGGACGAAAAAAGGATGGTCTATGTAACGATCGTTGTAGATTCTGTTCCCCTCCCCCTCTCCCCAATCCCCCTCCCCTTTTTCCCTTCCTCCCTATCCCCTATCCCCTACCCCTTTCGACGCCTGCTACGCAGGCTAGGGGAAATCGAGGGTTCGAGTTATCGGGAGTCGACTGTAGATGATATTCAAGGAATAGAAAACTTCATATGCTGGGCCGTTTAAAATCATTTGACTACACTAAGACAGATATTGACTTTGAAACTAAAAGATAGCCACAATCAGCACAATAACAATAAAGTAAAGCAGATTGTTACTGAAGCGAAGATGGTCTGCTATGTTTGGATTTGTCTCGTACATTTCAATCATTGTGCCATTAATTTTGCTCTCGACTTGTGCACATGAAGTTTTCTCGACGATGGTTGTATTGTATCGAGCACGGCTTATCACTTCAAAGTTCTCTTCTTTGATGTCTTCCAGGGAAATAGTATTGTTAATCCCATAATAACTCTGCATTTCTCCATCCTCATACTTGACTGTTGTGTTTAGTTCAACCAAGTTGTCATTAATACCTTCCCGTAAAGTCTGATCTGCGGAGGACTGGTTGAGACACAATTCTCCTTTAGCATTTAACAACTTCTGTTCTTCATAAATAACCCTGACTGCTCGCTTTTCGGGGATGGACACATGACTTCCGTACATTGGGTAACCTCTTCGGTAAACGGGCGCAGTTGCAAAGGTATAGCGAAACACCATGTAACCCATAAGGACTTTAGTGAATGTGTCTGAGCGCGAACCAAGTTTTGTTTGTCTCGTGATAACAGGAGAGCGAACTGTGGTTGCTTTGATTGGAGTGTACTTCGTGATTTTGGGTTTGGAACCAGAGCTGCCACTGCCGCTGCTACCGCCGCTGCTTCGGCTGTTTTTCGACTTTGACTTTGATCTAGTTTTACTTCTCGATCCACGACTACTACTTCCTCTAGCTGCTTCACCGTCATCGAGCGCGAAAAACAAGATGAACACCACAACGACGAACACTGTCCGCGAGCATCTCATCTTCGTTGTCGTTCACTTTTTGATACGGTAAAACACTGCCCGGGAAACACTGCTTATAACTGAAAAATGTTTCTCTTTCACTCTCTTTTTTATCGCCGTACATGCGTGCTGCGTTTTAATCTTAATCATAACATCTGATTTGCATTTAATCGAAGGCAATATCTTGTATAATAGAAAGATGAAATAAAATATTAATAGTGCTAAATTGTGTTGTTCTGTCATACAGCAGGCTGCATAAATTACTCCAAATTACATTTACGTACTAAAAATAAGAATATACACTCTTTTTTTTTATAAGAATGTTGTTTTTCCGGCCCAGGCTGAATATTCTTATTTTTCTGCTGATTTTAGGCTGAAAATATTCTTGCATTATTCTCAAATTATAGCTTATGACATTTCCGTTTTAGAATTTATTGGGGTATGTGTATATGTATTACATGTACCGTTCATCGAACTGTCATTAGCGTTAAACATTTTGCTATAGCTAGTGCAGGTTTTTTCGTTTTGTTGGCTAGTTTCGCCGTTCAGAGGAAGGAATAATTTTATACAGTTAAGTTAGAAACATAAAATTGTATTGTATTTACAGATGTTTCAACACACAAAATTATGTCTATCCTTTTCAAAATCTCAGCCTCGGCTTTATTCTTAAAATATTCTTAAAATTTCGCAAATTTCAGCCTCGATATTCTTATAAAGTATATTCTTATAAAAAAAAAAGAGTGTATACTAGTACTCTTCGGGAAAATAAAGCTGTTATTTTTAAACGTGAACTTTGAATGGAAAGAATAGAATAACAGAAATAAAGAATAGAAATAGAATATAATACAAATGATAGACTACCCAGAAAGAAAATAAATAGTGGCGGAAATAATTCCTTGATGTTAAATAAGCACCGTTGAAAATCATTCCTGTTGCTCCGAACGTTGAAATTTGCGCGGTATTTAATTTCCTACCTCCACCGAGGTTAAAATCAGGTCTGAAAATAACACTTAATTTACGGTAATCGAAAATACGTAATACTTGTCCGTTCAATTCTCCCATTTCTCTTAAGTATTTCTCAGCCCTTGGCGGAAGTATCATGCCAGGAGGTCTTCAATTTAATTCAGAAAATACCGAGTAGTAAAGCCAGTGGTCTTGATAACATCTCAGCACGTCTCCTGAAAGAAGCGTCTCCCATAGTTAATCGCAGTTTAACTTTTATGATAAATCTCTCAATTACCACTGGAATATTTCCAAATGCTTGGAAACGAGCTAGAGTTTCGCCAATATTTAAAGAGGACCTCAAGACTGATCCTAACAACTACAGACCTATGTCAGTTCTGCCTGTAGTAATGCATCAGTCAATCCCATCTGCACCCAGCCCCCCCCCCGGGCTACTGAGGGGCATTTTCCCGCCTTGTCAGTCCCGGGGGTGGGGCATTTGCAAATTTTCCGCTGCCCGGGGGCCGGACATTTGCCAACCCCGAGCTTTTGACACGCACGCGGTTTCCTATCAGAATATAACTACACAGAGTATTTTACTGGAAAAACAAGCAGATTGGCTCATTTGTAATTTTATGCATGCATTTCTTCATTGCTTATCAAGCCAGAATTACATAGCGAAACTCGGGAGCTATTGACGTGAATCAACGTTTTTTTGGTTATTGAATCAAGTTTCTATTGATATTATTTGAAGAACATCCTTTCATATTTATAAAACTATTCATACCAGTTAACTTTACAGCGCACTATTAATTTCAATGTCAATAATTTTATAACAATACTAAAACCAAAAACTGGTGTTGCCAAGACGTGAAGTCTTAATTAGAATAGCACTATTACAAAGGAAGACGTTAATTGAAACAAAAAATCGCACTTTAAAATGTTTAAAACGGCACTATTCGACTCTGCAATCAATGAAAAATGTTGCAGTGTTGACGGAGGACGGGGCATTTGCCCTCTTTTTTCGTCTTCACCCCGGGGGATTTGACAGCTCAAGAGTCCCCAGCCCCTGGAATTTGCCATCCAAGGCAAAAAAACACTAATGCCCGGTGGTCAGCCCGGGGGGGGGGGGGGGGGGGGGGGGGGTTTATTACAGTGGATTGTTGGAATTTGAAAAAAGGGTCAAACAGGAAGATGTTTAAAACGTCACTATACGTCAATTCATGGAAGAGAAAATGAAATATGTTTTATGGAGAACAGCACATAGGGCCACTTTTATCTTCATTTTTACAGAAATTTCAACTGCTCTATGTAACGTTGCTCTTTTAATTGGCCAACTACGTAAAATTACTAATAAATACCTTTGGATAGGCCGGGGGGGAGGCCCGGGGGGGGGGGGGGTGGAGGAGCTGGGCAAGGCTGGAATTGACTGATGCATTAGGTCCATTGTGTATTTCACTTTTTCCGAAAACATTTCCGTCTTTTTGTTGTCACTGCTTATTGTAAAAGTTATTTGTTTATTTCTTTCTTCTCTAGTTTTTGTTTTTGATTTTTAATTGTAAACCTTGATATATGCGGACTTTAATAAATCTGTTGAATGCTATTCATTTTCACATGCATCAGTCAATTCCAGCTGCGCCCAGCCTCCCACCCCGGGCTTTACGCCGCGATGACGCCAGTTTATAGTTTTAGTATTGCTATAACATTATTGACATTAAAATTAACAGTGTGTTGTAACGTTATCTGTTCTGACAAGAGCCATAATGGGACCCCAAGAGCCATAATGGTCCCACTATGGCTCTTGGTTCTGAATAGTTTTATAAATATGAAAGGATGCTCTTCAAATAACATAACAGAAATTTGATTCAATAACCAAAAAACGTTGATTCACGCCGATACCTCCCGATTTCGCTCGGTAATTCTGGCTTAATAAGCAGTGAAGAAATGCATGCATAAAATCGAGAACATGCCTTTACAACCCTCTAGAATTTTTTTCCCATCCTTGACAGATTAGCCTGCGTAGCTGGCGGTATTGTGTAGTAGTCGAGTGAGATTTGGCGGCGGAGCCGTTGTAATATAGTCGAGTGAATACCGCCAGCTACGCAGGCTATTGACAGATTGGCCAATCTGCTTGATCTCTTTGTAATTATAGGAAACCACGTTTGTGTCAAGAGCTCGGGGGTGGCCACGGAGTTGGCAAATGCCCGACTCCGGGCAGCGCAAAAATTTGCCCATGCCCCACCCCCGCAGTTGCCGGGGGTGGGGTGGGGGGGGGGGGTTTGGGCTGGGCGCAGAATTGTCTGATGCATTAGTTTCACCAAGTTTTTAGTTTTATGTTGTATCAGCGTGTCTCCCTCGCGCGCCCCGTTCTTTCTTGCGCCCATTACTTCTTCAAAATATTTGGCTTTTATTCTGGCTCGTAACCTGCTGCAGTCAAGGAGCTTATTAAAATAATGTAAAAAAAGAATCATGGTTAACTTATCTTTGCAATGTTTTGTGTTGAATTCCCACAAGTACAGTTCATCGAATTACGTGATCTCATCACACTTAAAATTATTTGCTGATGACACCCTCCTGTATGCAATCATCCACAGCCAAGCTGATCCACTAAGTTTGCAGAGTGACCTGGACCAACTCGTAGGTTGGTCTCAAATCTGGCAAATGAATTTCCATACCTATAAGTGCTATGTGTTGCGTATTCATCGATCGAAAACCCCCATTGCCCATCAATATATTATGCTAAATCAGATTCTTGAAGTGGTGGACCACCAGGCATACCTAGGGATTACCATCACAGAAACACTTATTGGAAAACGCACATTTTAAATGTGAAGAACAAAGCCAATAAGACACTAGGATACATCAAAAGAAATCTTCATTCTTGCCCGGAGAGAATCAAGGCTCAGGCAAATATTTAACTATTTAGACCCACATTAGAACATGCAGTGTGCATCATGGGACCCCTACAGAAAATACTAAATAGACCTGCTAGAGCAAGTTCAGAGACGGGCTGCTCGTTTTGTGACAAAGACTTACTCAAGAGAGGAGGGCTGTATCTCCCAAGCATTAAACAATTTACACTGGCCAACACTACAGCACAGGAGGCGAATATCAAGGCTATGCATGCGCTACAAAACACTTAACAACGAAGCTGAAATTACTGCTCCGACCTATGTCCAGCATCAGCAATTCCAACGGACCCGCCACTCCCATCCACGTAAGTTTACTCAACTCCAAGCAACATGTGATGCGTACAATTTAAGCGTTTGGCCCAGAACGATTAAAGATTGGAAGAGTTTGCATGTGGACATTATACAATCGAACTCAATTCCTCATTTATTTCAAGCCCGTTTGAGGAGGGCTTATTTGCGAGGGGGCTTATTTAATTTAGAACAGACGATGGTGTCAGTTCTCCCCGAAAAACCTCAAGTCTCAGAAGGTTGGAGTTCATGCCGCCGAGGATCAGAATCAATTCCGAATTTCCAGTTAGGAAATAAACCATTCCAAATCAGCCCACGTCTAGAGTCTACAGTTATGATCTATCAATACAGTCTATGATTTATTAAAGAAGAATAATTAGGGGAGGGGAGGGGGAGGGGCTTAATAGAGGATGTACGATACAAGGATTTGAACATTTTTCCGGGACCAAATTTCGGTCCTCTCAACGGAGGTGTCCTTTGAATAGAGGTGTCCCAAAGGAGAGGTTCCACTGTATTGCTTGTAAAGTTGTTGTAGCTGTTGTTTTGTGCCGGCTACGCGATCACGTAAGAAAAAACGTATGGAAGCTGTTAAAAACGCGCCACCCTCTTAGGCCTAGTTACAAAAATCCTGTAAAATGGCCCAAAAATCTATCTGGAAATTCTCCATAAAATGTCTATAGATCCCAATTTTATCTCTAAAAATCTCGAAGTTTATTCTAAAAATCCCGATTTATCCCAATTTTTTTCGAAATAATCAAATAACTTGCATAAAATGCCGGATTCTTGTGACCTGGGCAAGTTGACCATAAACACATTCAAACTGATTCAAAATGTTAATTTATTAACTAGACAATATACGTACGTAGTTTGTCTCGTTTACATATTTATCTTTAAAACAAACGATAACGGCAATGAGCACTGAGAAGAGTTTGACATGTCATGTGGCATAACCGAGGCCAAAAACATGACAACTGTATTTTTCTAAATGTTATTGTCTAAAAATCCTAAAAATTTCTAAAAATTTTCTAAAACTCCATTTTGACTCTAAAAATCCTAGACTTGCTACAAGTCGACCTTTCATAAGTTCTTAGCGAGCGAAGCGAGCTTCAACGAGTCTTCAACGAGATCGCCCAGCGACCGACTTTCAGGAAGTCTATAAAAATCGTGAAAAAAAGCCGGATTTTTGTAACGGCCTAAACGGGGGAAAGCCCTGGGGACGAGGTCGCTGGCACAAAGTAGTTAAGCTTACATTACGTAGTAACTATCACGACAACGAAACTAATACAAATACCCGAAAAACAGTATTTAATTTCTGTATTTTTATGAATAACTGTTGTCTGTAGTCGTTTGAGGCTAGAAGAGTCCAAAACCATGTAAGAAATCGCTGTGGATTTTAATTTTCGTTGTTGATGTTTGTTTTGCTTGTTTTGAAGTTCAAACATGAAGCTGTATGTCGAGCAATCACGATGTTGACTGACAAGAACTTATGCACGTTAATTTTTATATCACAGGCTTAAAGTCAAAAACGAGAAGGGAAAGTTTGACATACTTTTAAACGAAGGTTAGTGGTATGACCTGTTATTTATTGTCAGAAATATTCAGCTGTAGCGTCTTATCCTAAAACATAAAATCGGGAGACATCAATGAGCAGTATTTTTGTCTGTGCGAGGCACATGCGGGCATAAAACTTTTATTTAGGCAGTTGTATTTTGGCTACTTTGAGAATTTCACGGCTGTACTCACTAATCACTAAATACGCGGCAACTGTTCAATCGATAAATTGATGGTTGATCGACGATTGTGCATTAGCAGTCGATAAAAACGATTGGGTACTGGAAAATCGTTGGTTAATCGATGAATATAAACGTTTTTTTGATAAGCTTAACTCGATTGATCATCCGTTTTATACTCTGAAAGCTTGAGTTCGCAAGTGAACGGGAGGCGAAAGGTAAAACACGTACCTCTGCATTCGTTGTGTATACTGGTTGATATTTTTAAAATAAGTATTATTTTTTTATATCCCCCACAGCATAATTTTTTCAACACGCCTGTACTGTCCAAAAGAAAAAATGACACCCTCCTCACTCCCCCAATGGTGCAGAGATACTTTTCATACTTTAAAGGTACAGCCCTACAAAGGGTAGCAAAAATATCATAGGGCACGTTCCTTTGGTATGATCGAGATCATCAGATCAGGATCAGTAATCCAACATCACTAATCGCATAAGGGGCCATTGACATATTCACTTTCTCCCCACTTATGTCAACTGAACGTTTAGCAGGGTGGGAGGGGGTAAGGCAGTGGATGTTAGTGCAGGGCATTTTTGGACAAAAGCAAACTGATGCATTTTCATAAATTTTACACCATGTGCTGTGGAACCTCACCACAGTCACAAATTCATTAATTATGAGATTTCTTACAAGTCCAATGCTTTATAAATAAATAATTGTTATTTGCTGTTATTTCAATTTTTAACCATCAATTTTTATTTTATCATGGTTCGTTTTCATGTTCTCTTTAATTAGCCACATTATCTAATGCTGGATCTAAAGATTTAGCCCTTAAGGTAAGAATCACATATAACTGTTTGCACATTGATTCACATATTAAGTCTTTATTATCAGCGTGCAAAGAAAATAGTAGTGTCCGATAGCCCAGGGCTAGGGCTTACTGTAGTTTGCGAACAAAATGGAGGGAAACGAAACGAAATGAAATGAAAATCTGTAGTTTGCGAAATGAAAATCTGTAGTTTGCGAAATGAGAATCTGTAGTTTACGAAATGAAAATCCTCTGGAAAATGCCAACTTCAAATTCTACTCGGATATTCTAAACAGAAAATCCCCCCCAAAAACCTGTTTGGCCCAGAATAGTTTAACTTCTGCTCAGGCGCTCAAGTTAAGCCCTGTCGGTAGGGGTTAGGAACTGGATGGGTGACCCACCGCGAAGATCGTCTTAACCAGTGGGGGATGCCCAAAACGCTGATCACTTCGACTTTGCCTAAATTATTTCAGACTGGGGAAAAGTCGGGTTTCTCAATCACGAGTTTACGGCTGAATAGTGTAGATGGATGTTAGAATTATATCGTCTGACACTTTTCGCCGGATTTATTGCGCAGAAAATAACCCCATAGGCAGTAAACGTTGGCTCAAAACGTGACGAAACTGAAATTTACAACCGCATAACATCGCTTCGCTGTACAACACTTCATTGTTTGCAAAGCTTCGATTTTATTTAATAGAACTGTTTACAAGTGAGCAATGCTGCAATCGCCGGCAGCTGCAATCGTCTGATTCCAAACAGCCAAAAACAAGAATACTAAACAAAGGAATCAAAAGGCAAACATGAATAAAACTGCGTTTTGGTGGTGTTGAATTCATAGTATGCATGACATTTGAGGCCTGTACAACTTCACCCCGCAGCGCTACTTGACACACGAAAGGCTGTCACACAATTACAGAGGCCCCTTACACCTATGGGACAGAAGAAATCTGTTTGCCGTTTTGAGATGTAGTAGGGGCTTCTATTAAATCAATTCCGACCAAGTACCACACCTTGGGAACAACCTTCACAGGGTGTAAAAACGTCGCAGGCCTTCACTTCCCGTACATTTCTCTGGCACCTGTCACAACGCTTTTAAAATCTAAGGACATATAAGGAGAAGAAAACAACTACTAGTGAAAACAAAACAAACAAACAAACAAAACAACTGAAAATGTAGTTATGATCAATGGACGCTCCAATGATGGTCCCTTAAGAATAGATGTTGTGCTTGGTGCACACAAAAAAGTATTTCTGATGTAGCAGGCGTGACAGCCAGTGTGACATAAATGAATGTTCAAGGCCACACTTGGGTCAACTGGTAGAAAATCCTTCATCCTGACCCTTCAGAAATATAATTTCTGATCTTTGGCTTCACATAAAATAATAAGAAACGGGAGCTATAAGAAGGACTTCGGTTTACAATGCCCTTTGACAACCTACTAAAAGATGCAATAATGCCTCACCCTTTCAAAGAACACTGAAAACAGAAGAAATTGAATTCCGTTTAACAACGCAGGCATTTTAAAAACCACGATCAAGAGGGTGCATTGGGAAATAAATAAAATTTGTAACTAACCATTTCCATTGTGTCCTTGTAGTAGTCAGGCCAGTAAAATCGCTCTTTGATTTTCGTAAGAGTATTGTTGCAGCCGGCATGTCCAGAAAAAGGTGCAGAGTGGTGCTCTTCGAAGACTCTCGCTTTCTCTTCCTCTGTGATAACAAGTCATCGAAGCGCTGTGCCATTCTCCTCCTTGGCCACGTAGAACAAGGACTCTAATATTGAGCCATATTCGAACTTTTTGGCAAATTTTTGCAGAGTCGTTTTGTCTTACTTTGCAAAGCCTTCCGGATAAACCTTCTTTTTAAGATACTTGAAATGATTTCTATATTTAGAGGAATCCATCTCTAAAACGTTTTCGATTTTCCCGCGAAATCCAGAATTTTTTTGGAGGGGATGACCAAAACACTAGGGAATTTGGGCATCCCGGGAGGGTACCGGGGGATGCCCAAAACGCTGCAGTAATATGAGAAGGGGATGCCAAAAACGCTAGGGATTTGGGAATGGGGATGCCCAAGCCGCGGGGATGTCCAAAACGCTGTGACATCGGCGTTGCCTTCGCTGTGCTAAGCGTTGTTCCTTCTGCTCCGCGGTTTCTTGTTGAGGCCTTCTTCTTCGTTGTTCACGCTGAATTTGAAGTCGGCATTCTCCAGAGGATTTTCATTTCGCAAACTACAGATTTTCATTTCCCAAACTACAGATTTTCATTTCGCAAACTACAGATTCTCATTTCACAAACTACAGATTTTCATTTCATTTCGTTCCATTTCGTTTCGTTTCGTTTCGCTCCATTTCGTTTCGCAAACTACAGTAAGCCCAGGGCTAGTGCATTTTGCTATCGGGTTGGTGAATTTTGTTCTTAACTTGCCCTATGGGCAAGTGAAGTTTTTGAGAAATTCTAATTACAGAAGAACTGTGTAATCAATCTTACTCATCAAAGAGTTTTTAGGGCTAGTTGAACTGACTCTTGGGCTAGTACATGCTAGCTACAGCTTGCCCGAATGGCAAGCTGTAAAACTGACTTAATTCTTTTGCACCCTGATTATGTTCTGGCAGATTGTTCTTTGGAGGACAGTACATTTGCAGAAATAGTAATATTGAATGTACCCATGTCTAGTGGGCTGTATGTTGAATAGCACTCATCATTAAAACAGCAAAGAGAACAACCAATTTTGTACATTTGGAGTGAAGTTACCCTTTAAAAATAGTTTGATATGAATGTGAGTCACGGATGAAATTTTTTCGTTTTGATTTGCCTGCAACAGTTGTACATGCACAGCACATGATCAGTTTAGTGTCAGCAATATGTGGACCAATATTATGTCCCCTGTCTTTTTTGGTAATGGTAAATTATATACATAGGATTGATAATTTAAAATATCGCAAACACTATTTTTTTTGACTTAATAAAATTGTTTATACAATGATATTGACATATTTTTTACGTGATTTTTCTTTTTTTCAGAGAAAACAAAACTCTAAAGTGTACACTTCAAAGAATCCTCAAGCTCAATTGTGGTCTTCTCATGCCAATACTGGAAGGAAGGAAGTTACAGTGGCTAACCAGAGACAGAAAAATGATATGACAAAGTCTGTGCCAATGGGACACCATAGAGATATCAATGATGATTTCTTGAAGGAGAAAAAAACTCCTAGTACAAAGAGGAGATCTCCTACTAAAGATGCAAGTTATTTGACAAAAGAACAGTTGTCAAAAATTCTGTCATCAATCAGTGGCCAAGAATCACCAGCTAGCCAACAAGGTTTATTATTATTTAATAAATAATTTTTTTCTTCTGGTTTTTAAAGATTTTTCTGATTAATTTGAGCATGTTGATACTCAACACAATCAAAATTATATATATTCAAAAAGCAGAACCCAGACGACACTCATTTCAGAACAAAACTTTTTATAATAACAAATTAAAACCAAGCAATTTCAGTGAGTTCCCCCTTTTGTATGTACCTGGTTCACTTTTAAATACTGTCTTTGGGCAGATGGTTTGGCAGCTGGGATGTGTTTTTGCAGTGAGTTAGTGTTGTAGAGAAGCAGCCATTAGTTTCTACTACTTATAGATTATATCTATATTTCTTTTGAAGGTGACTCCTCGGCTAAGCCTTTTTAAAATTTCCGTCTCTGAAGAAAATAATTTTAAAATTAGTAGTTTAGATAGAGGATCAACTTCTTTTCTTACTTTATTTTTAACAATGGTTTTCATGTAATTATAGTTTTCATGAAAAGTGAAACACTGAAACCTGTAGTTCAGCAGTCATTTACAGTTAATGGGAAAAGGTAAGGTCTTCACTTTTCCTTCTCAGGGCAACATTTTTTATGAATTTGCATAGGTTGTTGTGCGTATTTGTTTTATCATAGTTGTATTGATTACCTGTGAACTGCCTGTTAATAACTTACCCTTGCAGTTCCTCGTCCCTCGTAACACTTGCAACATCATCTGCGCCAACTGTTGTGGATAAAACATTGGTACCTATTTTGTGGAGAGGGAAAAGATCTTTTTACCCATTTTCCTTTAACCGCCTGTTACCGGCCGTGTGCAGATCCATGTCCCTTCTACCGCCTTTGACATCTTCAGTTTTAACAGTCGAGAACAACTTTGCCAACTAGCTTATGCAGGGTGAAGAGATCTAAAGTTCACCTGATCATATTATCAAAAAATGTTTCCAACACCCTCCCAGACTTTCAGCTACACAAAGAATTTTTAGAGGAAGATATTGCTCTGGTTTGATAGAGCATGTTACTCATGAATAGATATCTTAATTAACAAAAGTATAAGTTTCAATATAATAATGTTGCCAATAGTGTTGTGTGGATAAAGTCTTATAGTGTTATGTGTTTATCAACAGCACAGATGCACCTCTTGTGTCAGTCATAGAAACATCCACAGGAGTTGCTGCAAGCCAAGAACAGGTACAACTGGAATTGTTTCACTTTAATTCGCACTTCTTGAAATTAAAGGTATTTTCTTGGTGAAAGGAAAAAAGTGGATTTTCTTACAAGTTAGAATAATTTTACCGGTAATCACTGTTTCAATGACCAAGTTGTTTAGCTAGATCTAGAAATGATTTAACCTCAGTGAGATATTGTTAGCTTATATAGCGGAGGGTCAAAGAACTTATTTATCAGTACACAATACATAACTGTGCTCTAGAAAATACAAACAGTCGAGAATGTCTGGAAAGTTTAGTAGCAAAGGAAAATGAAGCATTTTTAAAGATGGTGCCCACTATTGGGAAGTATTTTTTGCCAGATAATGACTATGTGAGGCAAGTAGACCATATCAGGGGCTATTGAAATCCAAAAAGAAAACTGGGGGTAACCACGCATTTTTCAGAGATAACTGTGCCTCAATATGGAGAAAAATGCTGAATAGGTATTTTTTAGAAAAATGATAAAAGTCATTTTTTCCCCAAATTTCAGAGTGTACACGTGAACTGGCACAAATGCAATGATAATTGTAACAAGGTTTCAAAATAAGCAACAAATGATAAAATAACAACTGCTCTTTATACGTCTTTTTTTGAAAATAATTATATCAGCACAACTGGGAAGTTATCAGCAATTACCTCTCTCCACGCGTTTGCCTTAAAAACAGTGTAAACAACATTTTCCTTGAACCAAAAATATTATTGATCGTTTGCTGAGAAGGCTTATTACTTTCATTTGGTAAGAAAAAAAAACTTGTGGGGGTTACCACACGTTTTTAGAAGTTAAATTGGTTGGTTTCGACCTTAACTTAATCGCTTTGGTGGTTATTTACAATTTTCCCATTCCCTCCCCCGTCAGTTTCACTATTGCTTCACTCAACGCAGAGTACTCTGGGATATCCACAATGGCTTACAGTCAGAGAGAACAACAATCCACGGAGGCACAGTCCTTAAGGCCACCGTCAAGCTCTGACCTGCAGGGTAGCCACAGTAATGGCTAGATGTTGGTTTAAAAGTTTCATTGCTTGGTTAAAGAAACAATACATGTTTTTTTTATGATTGCTTTGCAATAAGAGCAAAACATAATGTGTCACAAAAGAAACTGCCAGATAGTGGAAATTTTTTGCATATGTGATTTCTGTCAATTATAAAGTGGAAAAAATTTTCATGCATTAGGAAAATTCGTGTTAACAGTGTGTTTCCGTACCAAAAAAGGGAGTGACAGGTTAAAAATTCTTAAGTTTTCCTCGCTATAAAACTGTGCAAATTATACTAAGATGCGCATTACACATCCCTAGAATTTTCTTTGACAAGGCAGGCATCTCTGTGAAACAGACACTTATGAGTGTGAGTTTCAACTTGCATTGTCTATCATGCAGATCGAGAACTTTGATCTTATCTTGATATTTACAGTGTTGTTTTTGTATATAGGCCAGTCTTCCTAAAAAGAATTTTCAGTGGAAAAAGGACCTAGGTTTGTATGAAAGTTTTCTCATCACAGAATTATGCCCCATTCACACCAGCTAAACATGTTTAATTCATATAGGTTTTTTTTTCAAATATAAAAAAGAAGAAGAACAGATAACAAAAAACTAATACACAGGCTTTTACAGGGAATTCAAATGAAATTCCACACATTATGTAAAATGCACCAAAATTGCAATTAATAAATACAGTAAGCAGCTTCTATAAATGAAAAAAATTAAACCATATTTAACGCTATGTAAACATACAGCTTTTAAACATTTTGATTACCTTTCAATCTGCAAAATGCACTGTTAACACCTATTCTTGATCATATATTAAAAAACAATGCATTACATTGTACTGTCTAAGACATAACTATGGGCAGTTAAATAAATGTCAAATGTTTTAGAATTATTGATATTCAAGGATGGAGCATCATTGCAGTTTTGGGTTCTTTACACTTCTTTGTGACTGTATAACCGCATTGAAATTAAATCAACCAATATTGTTTTGTTCAGTTTTGTCTTGTTGCTTTTTTTTGTTGGTTTGACCTTTCATAATTTTTTTGTGGTATAGATGAACAGATAGCTCTAAAGCAGAAGTTAAAGGCAGTACAAGATAATGTGGTAAGTGGAAGTTGATTGTTTAATGTGATTTTTGTAGCAATATGTAATTCTGTTGCATGTATTTGTACTGGTGTTGAAAAGATGTCTGACAATAAATTTTGTTAACCTCATTATTTTGTTATTAATGTCAAGATAATGAATTTATTAGATGTGAACAGTCATAAAACAAAGTAAAATTGATCATTGGATGTCCACCAATCCCACAATTCAACTGTAAGTAACAGTTGGTCGTTCATGGACTTGCTCATGTCCAACAAAATCCTACCTGATGACTTGAGAAATCAGTTGTTATTTGCATAGCAATATTATTAGTAGATCAGAAGATCTGCATACTAGTACATGTAATTAAAGAAATGTAAATAAATGGACATACACTGTACAGTGGACATACCCCTATAAGGTACTCACCTGCCAGTGTTTCTGGTTTGTTTATAGGTAAAATGGTGACCTGGTTATTAAAACATATGCTGTTTCTAAAAAAAATTGTTTGTAGACATGGATTAATAAAACATCATTTTAAGTTTATTTCTGTAATGTCCAAATATAACCACCAAAGGTTAATACTGCCTACTGATTAGGAAATATGATTGTTAGCTTCAATGATGTATTGTTAACATTCCCCTTCATGTTTTATTTATCATTAGAATGAGGTGGATGAAATTGAAGAGTACAATCCCTGGGGTCGTCCTGGTGGAGGGGCACCCATTCGAAGCCACTCTGGGAAAGTTGTTGCAGACTTCAAGAAAATGGCTCAGGTATAAGCCTAGCAGTGAAATAAAAATAAACCACATTATGAAAAGGTCAAAAATTGTGTGTCATACATTTAGTAAATAAGAAAATGAAGTGACTCTCTCTATATATAAACTGGTATATTATTGTACCAGTAACTTGTCTCTTTTCAGTCAATCAGGTAGGCAGACAGTAAAGGTGGCTCTATGATGACAAACATTGTGAGCTTAAAAAAAATTAAAATTTCATCGGTTCAGTGAGAAAAACAACAATTTTGTTTTGCATTTGTAGTTCCTTTTTGTGTGTGACAGTTTAATAATGTGGAGGATGTAAAAAAAACGATATCTATTTTTTTTCTTTTCTTTCTAAAACTGGGTGTGTCCCACAATGATTTAACTCGAGGACCCGCTTCCTCCAAAGATGGTTAAGTTAAACCCAGGATTAAGCGAAATTATTTTGGGCAAGGTTTTCTTATCCAACAGTGCAATTCAAGCTTACAAAATACTGTTGAGCCTTTACTCAGAGATACAGTAATGATTACACATGCAAAATGTTACTATAAGCAATACATAGAAAGGTAAAATACAAAAATGAAACAAAATTTAATCTTGGATTAGCACCAATTGGCCTTTCAGACACCAGGCCTAGGGAAGTAAGCCTTATACATGTACAACTGACATATGAAGGGTCCATGCGTTGGAAGAGTAAACTCACTTAAGTTTGAAAAAAGGTGAGTTCATATTAATAGCAAAATTTTTGTTGCCATCACTGCGATTAAGCTCCCTAACACCTTAGACTGGAAAACAGTCTGAATTTTTGCGTATTCAAGTACGCGTGAGCAGTCAAACAAAGGTCTGGATCAAGACTGAAAACAGAGAGAGGGCTATAGAGACAAGCTGTCAATAAGCCGTCAAGTTATGCACCTATCAATGTAAACCCCGTGGCGGGGGCGGGGGGGGGGGGGGGGAGTGCGGGCAAGGGGTGAAGATTTGACAAATTTTAAAATTTTTTGATCAAATTCCCCAGGGTGGGAAATGAAAGGTCAATCAAAAGTGTCAAAAAGCCCCCACCCCAGGGGAAATATCTAAACAAACAATACTATAATACTATATAAAACGAATGAAAGAACATTTGATAAGTACGTTCTTACTACTTTTATTTAAGGTTAACGTAAGCTCCGTTAAATTACTCGCTGTAATTAAGTATTTTCTCTCTCCACTAGCATCTCTTATTTTGAACAACGTAATCACTCCGGACCAGGAAGATTGACTGTGCTATTATTATATTAATGAAACGTACAATGCTTTATAACATCGGCTCAACATGTCTGAACAGGTCGGATCAGTGACCTGCAAAAAATCCTCTGACTTTCATGGTAGAAGTCGATTTCAATCGAGGTTTACAATCAGATGGGAACTTGAAGATAAAAACTTTCTCAAAATAGACATTATCTGTTTAGATGACAGTGTAAAGTATCGGATTATGGCAATTCAAGAAATGAAAACTTCATAACTTTCTCCAACAGCGTGACTTTCAGAAAGCCTCGAGGGACGGACTTGGTTACCGCGTCTGAATTGATACCAGGCTTCTATCAGTCAAAGTCAAATTTCCCAACCCCGGGGTCGCTTTGCACGATCAAAAGCCCGACAGGGGGATAGTCTCAGGCATCAAATCCCCTCCCCTTGCCCGCACTCCCCCCCCCACGGGATTTACATTGATAGGTGCATTATGTTTACACCAAGCCATTCGTGATGTTCCCTGCAACTGCGATGATTTCCTAAAGCTTTTGCCGTAAATAGTGGTTGATGATCACCTCGATTTGCTCACATAAGAATTGGGATTTGTTTGAAAATCAAATCAGAGGGAAGCTTTGGAGAAGCTACTTTTTTTTAAGGGGGAAGGATGTTTTTGTGTCCTACCAACAGGCTTTGGCTCTTTTCAATCGCAATAATTATTCGTATAGTCCGTTGGTGTGTTCATTTTCTCTCTAATTTGCGAAAGCATCACAGCGCAGTTTCATACCTTCATTTTGTTCTGCACAGCGAGCAAACTCTTGTGGAGAAAGATTCTCCAGATTCGTTGAGGACAATGAAAAGTTCCTTTTCAGAAGGTCGAATAACTTTGGTAAATGTTTAATCTTTTCTAGTAGAGGCAACTAACATATTTTCAGAGCTTATCCACCCACTCTTAAAATTGCCGAACTGTGTTTTGAAACAAATCATAAGAAGCGCTGGGCTCTTTTGGCTTTCTCCCTCTTTGAGGGAGCAGGCACAGGCTTTGCCGGAGTACTTCCACTTCCACTCATTTTTGATCCTCCACAAAACATTACATTGCACAGGGAAACAAAGCTGAAGACTGCTTTGAAATTACTGGATACAGCATTCACCACACAATTTGAAGCCAAGTGTGGACAATAGCAAGTGGTATTTTCTCGCGAAATCAATCACCAAGTTATCAAATTCACCGAGAGGGTGCATATAGAGTTGTAAACAGATTTTTGACAGCTCAACAATATTTTTGAACCCCCTGGTCAGAACGAACTCATTGTATGGAAAAAGGACAGTAGGTTTTTTTTCTCTTGCCTCACATGCCCATGGGGTGTGTGAGACTCTTAAGCTGTGCTTAACGGATTTTAAGAAAAAAACTGACTATTTTGAAGTCTACTAATACCTCAGTGGGGAAACTATTTTTTGAGAGCTGCCATGTACATAAAGAGATGCATAATTATTTTAAAGACTGTTGTACTTTTCATCCAACACTTCAGTGAAGTTTAACACTTATTATTTCATTGTCGTGATGATATCAATATCAAGTGACAAAGATGAAAACTTAAAACTGACCTAATGTATATGGTTTAAGGTGACAAAATAAAGAACAAAAGTAACATGTTTGCAAGTGTAAATGAAAATATGTTAAACAAACAGTTTTGCCTGGATGGAATCTGAATTGTGTGTTTCAGATTCCATCTGGGCAAACTGTTTGTTTAGCATATTTTCATTTACGTGTGCAAACAATTGTTACAGTTTTGCCCGGATGGAAACTGATTATTGTGTGTTTCAGAAGAATATACGCGCTGGCTTAATGTTGAAGGTAAAATCTGTTCTCAAATTAAAGCCGAGATTCTTTGCCTCCTCTGAATATTTAGGGATAGGAAAGAAAGCAAATTCTGAATCAAACTATAGTCAAACCCCACTTAATATGGACACCCATATCAAGTGGACAGTTTTGTTTGCCCTGATACTTAAGCTTTATGTATAATTATAAGCCCTGACCTTATATAATTATTTTCTGTACCTTTAATTTTTGTGTCCCAATTTACAAACTCTTGTATATCCTCTCTTTATGGACGCTGGTTATCTGTGCACTGTCTTTTATCCCATTTTTAGTGAGACCCTGCTTAATACAGATACCCATATGATATGGACACTATTGCAATTGTTCCTCGGTGTCTGTAGAAGTCTCATTCCACTAGCACTGTTGGAATAATGGTTTATGCGAAGCACAGATTTCACCTAAAAAATAAAAGGTTTATTGAATTCCCAAAAAATCAAAGTATACTTAAAAAAATGTCTAGATATGATTGATATATATATATATACCTAGTAATTAGTTAGAACCTAAAATTTATCTTTAAACAACCGTTTGACTGGCTTTTTCTGTGTTGTATAAGAATGAGGCGGATCCCACAGGGTCAGGTCTGACATTGAACAGTGATCAGCCTGCAGTTAAGACTACTGGACAGGCTAGTAATGCTGCACAGTACACTGGTACAGCTGCAGGTACAGCTGATGTACTACCTGCTGCTATGAGAAGCTCATTTGCCGTTGGGGTAAGATCAGTCTCCTAGCTCTCTTATGTAATTATAAAGGTGCAGAAATTGTGCCTTCCTACATAAAACAGAATTGCCATTGAAAAAAAAACTGTTTTGAATTGCTATAATGTACGAGATAGTGGTATTAGAAAAGCATGATCACGATCCTGACCCGGCTAGACAAAGAAATTGAAGGTTAACAGGTAAAACCTTTAGTTGGTCTTATGTACAAATCATGAATCAAAGGCTGAGTGGGAAAACGGAGGGAATTGTCCACTGACCCAGGACACCCTGGCTCTTGATTATTAAACCCTTCTGTTACTTTATTCAAATAACTAATTATTAAAGGTGTTATGTATACAAAAAGACTACAGTATTATCAGTTGGCTTCCCAGACCTTGAGTCACTTTGGCCAGAGTTTGAAAAAAATCCAGTGAGAGATCATGCTCATTACTCGTAACTTATTCGAAGATTGCCACTTCAATGATTCTCATGAGATGAGCCGCTTGTCTTGCAGGAAACCAGATAAAACTGGTAACTTTTGAGCAGACATACTACAATATTATTCCTGGTATTCCAGTGACTACACTGTGAAACACAGTGAAAACTTTCAATGTTTTTATTACAGAAAAAAATATTCTTCAACACCAACAATTTGTTAAAAGTTTAGCAGAGCTTAATTTCCGAACCCATCCGAAACGAGGCTGGGAGTAATCGCAAACATCATCATGATCACTGATGAAGGGATCCAAAGCTCTGCTATTAAGAAAAGCTCGATTGCTCAACAAATTGTTGGTGTCGAAGAATAAATCTTTTTTGGTAATAAAATTCTCCTTTTGGGTGGTTTTTGTCATTTTTGTCCTTTGCAATTTGTGCCTTGTGTCAAATCACCTCAGAACCTTTAGCTTATTATTATTATTATTATTATTTGTTATTATTATGTTCTCGTCAAGTTTTCCTGCTTCCCATCTATTGTAACCAGGTCCAAGCAGTGGACCTGCCCTGGGGCATTATAGGGGGAGAAATTACTTCAGCGACAGTACTTTCCTTACTGTTTGGTTGTACTAAGCATTGTGATTTTCTGGATTTCATTGGTGCTAATGTTACTTGGGATTCTACTAGTGACCTTGTCTAGTCCTATCTTAATTAGCCCTAGGGCTCCAACGACCACTGGTATTGTTTCCGTTTTCATATCCCACATTCAATTTCCAAATCAATTGTACTTGGATAACTTCTCTTGCTGAGGTGATTATTATTATTATCATTATCATTATGATTATTATTATCACTATTATTATTATGATTGTTGTTGTTGTTGTTATTATTATTTTCATTTTTAATGATAAATTACTATTTATTCATTTCAGGCTCCAGGTATCGTAAAGTATGAGACAAAGCAGTCTAAAGCTGAAGAGAAGAAAAAATGGTTACAAGAACTTGGTATGGCCCATATATTATATGTTACAAACGGATAAAACCTGAGTTACACCACACTGGATTTATTTTGTTCATTTCCATTTTTAACAGAGCAACAAATCAAAGAAAAAAAGGAAAGAGAAGCTAAGGAAAAATTAAATCAATCACTGAAGGTAGAATATTTCAAGTTTATTCTTGCTCTCAATTACGCAAAACTGAAATATTTTTAAGAGAATGTGATTGTCATAGTTTAAAAACAAGAAAGTTTCAAACCTCAACTGAATTCAAAACCAGACTCTTTGCTATTGAATGATTCTCAATTTCTTTTATCTCCTGTCCCTGATTATTCATGAATTAGGGCGAAGAAACAAAGGGAATTTGAGAATCAACCAAGGTTAAAAAATGTTAACCTTAATTCAGTGGAACCTCGATATAACGATGCTCTATATAACGAAATCCTCGCAGTAAATCATATATTTAAATGCTATTTTGTGCCTTAAAAAATATTTAATTAGCATTATGATTATTATAACGAACGATTTTTTTTTACCCCAGTAATAGTAAAATATATGAAAAAGAACCTTGATATAACGACACCTTCTTATAGCGAACAAATTTTGCCTCTCCGTTATTTGGCCTTTCGTTATATCGAGGTTCCACTGTTTATTTTTGACCTGTAACAGAATCCCATCCAAACCTTCTAAGTATCTTATTATTAATAGAACAAAATAATGTTAGATGGTTGTTGTTCAATATAGGAGAGTAAATATGAAACATGGTTCCAAACACCTGCTCCAGCCCGTGAATCTTCTGCCAACATCAGCGTTCCTACTAGTAGCACTTTTACAAAACAACACTCTCCAGTGCAAACTGTGCAAAATTCTCTCACTTCAGCCAGCAATGAAAGGTAAAGTAGTTACAAGTGTATGATCAATATTAAGTCCACAAGCATTTGGGGGACATAAAGAACAAATTAACTGCGTATCTACGTATTTGTGTCCATTCCCTACCTCTCCATTGTCCCCTAACCTGGAACACATCGATTCAAACAAGCAACTCCTTTCCTTTCGACAGACAACAATTATAAGAATCATGTAAAAATGGGTTTATACCACAGTTAATGTTCAGGCCACATGGTTACCTGTCTTTTATTGGATGTTCTGCCTCCTGTATATGCGAAACAGCCGAAGTTTAGGTGCATATTAGGGGCGAATATTTTCTGATGTTTTCTTAACAACGACAGGTTAGCACAGAACAGCCCGGAGTTTTCACTCAATATTTTCCTTTCGGAGTCCCTAAGACTCCTTTAACCAGAGGTTTAGGGTCCCAGAGGGAACAGTGGGAGTCCTAAGGTTAGCACTCTTTCAAATTCCAGGAAGTCTCTGAAACATTTTCGGGTTTCTTCTTAAAAGCAGAAGCATCACTACAACCGTTCGCTGGCTCACAATGAGACAGTAGTTTCCAAACCTCTGCAAGGAGTTTTAATGTGGTTCTCCGATCGGAACATCAAAAAAGCAAGCTTGAGAACCATTCAAAGTGATAATGGCTCTTTTTAGTTTTAAAAAAGGAGTCAGACAAAAGAAGAAGATTCAAAAGTCTTGATATTTTATTCTCAAAACAGATTTTTTGAAGATGTACGCAGTTCTTAACTAATTTTTAGTAAACTATCGCTCTAGAGCATGTGAGTCCGAGAGGAACGGTTCTCTTTGGTGTTTTGCGTCCTCTTTTTTCTTTTTCGGCGAAACAGCGCGTCTCTGACGCGTATTTGCGCGTAAGGGAAAACCCTGACAGCTGAACTGTAATTAGGTTTCATATGTAAACAGGGCTGGGAATATTCATAATCGAGGTCATGGATTGCAGAGTTTAGGACAAGTGGATCAAGGAGAACTGGAAAGAAAACGGAACAAGACACTGGAACATCAGGTGACCCTTAAACTAAGTTATCTTATTATCCCATTAATTTTTCGTGAACGGCTATTATTAAAAAATTTCCTATCGTTTTATGGACTGATTGTTTTACAACTTTCAGGTTATTTTACCCAAAATAAAGCAGGCGTGTTACTAGAAGGCCTTGTCCACTACACTCTTTCTTTTTCATAAGAATGTTGTTTTTGCGGCCCGGTCTTAATATTCTTTTTTCCTGCCAATTTTAGGCTGAAATATTCTTGCATTATTCTTAAATTTTAGCTTTTGACTTTTCCGTTGTAATGTATTGTGGTCTAAAGTTCAGTTGATGCTGGTTTTTTTGTTTTTGTTTTGTTCCCTAGTTTTCACCGCTAATTGTATTGTATTTACAGATTTTCAACAAAATCTCAGCCTTCGGCTTATTCTTATTGTATTCTTGAAATTTCGCAAATTTTAGTCTCGATATTCTCATAAAAAAACTTGTTATATTAAAAATAAAGAGTGTACTAGATTATACACCGCGGTAGTGAGGGTTTCCTGACGTTCTGTTCAAAGCCAACAGCTTAACATTACCTCCCAATCGTGTGACGTCGTTCTGAATGATAGACAAAGCACGATTTTATTTGAGTGTCAATCAGGGGCCCCCAACGACCGTTTCCTCCCAAATGCATTGAAAATACTTTTCAGGTTATCAAGAGTACTTTTAGATGTTTAGAAATGTATTCTAAGTGGCGCTAAAAATTTATATGTGTTCGGTCATCCTAGGGTAACTTGAATCTTCTAGAAATTACAAGGGCTTCAGTATTGTTTTCCCGAAAATTTTAGCTGCAATTTAAAGATTGACGAAATAGTAAAAGCATTTTCGATTCCGAAAATATTAGGTTTCCTTTCTCTACGAAAAATAGCTTAACCTGGTGAGTGAAATGGGAAAAATTAAACTTCACAAAATCGTAGGGAATTATTAGATAAGCTTCGAAAATTGTACATGAATGGAACGGTCATCTAGAAATTTTTAGCCTTCCTCAAGCTATAGAAAATTCTAGGCATTTTTTGCTTCTCCGATATTTCACGGAAAACAGTCGTTGGGTGCCCCTGAATAATACTGAATACACTGTTTTACGTACGCTACTGGAGATGGGATCGCCATTTCTACGTGACTCACCCGAATCCCTCGAAGGTTCCTTCCTCCCGGCATTGCTCAGACCCTGAGTATTGGTCCGGGCCTGGAGATCAAACACGCGGCCTTCTGCTCTACAGTCGAGCTCTTTACTTCCCTGCTAGCAGAGGCCTTTTTCACCCTGGTATTTGGCTCGGAAGAGAAGAGGCCTCTGTTAGCAGGGATGATATTTACATACTGAGCTAGTCCTGCCGCACACTAGTTTACCAGGTAGACCCTGGCAAAGCAACCGAGCAAACGTCAATAAACCGGCACTCAACTTAGTGTTACCAAGTGGTGGTGATAATATGATATTACGGACCTTAAGATCCGACGACAGCGACGGCAACGAGAACGTCAATAAAGCAATAGGTTTAATAACCAAAACAACAATTTTGCACGTGTATCACGCTTTTTTGTACATTTCCTTGCCGTCGCTGCAGGACTACGACGTGAAAATGCCTAATTTGACGTTTTACATAGGAAGTACACAAGTGACGAGGACATTTCCTCTCACTTTCTGAACTTGGATATGGTTCTTAGGCTTCTCCGGACAGATATTTCACAGTTTTACTTACGCTACTGGAGACGGGATCGCCATTTCTACGTGACTCACCCGAACCCCTCGAAGGTGAAGCCGTTTTGCAGGGCAAAGGCAGTACTAGCCTCCCAGCAGAAGTCCTTTGGGGTTCGTTTGAATGAGTGACGAACGAACCCCAAAGGACTTCTGCTGGGAGTCTAAGGCAGTACCTTCCTCCCGGCATTACTCAGACCTTGAGTATTAGTCCTGCCTTGGAGATCAAACCCGCGGCCTTCTGCTCGCTGTCCTCGGATCTCAAGGTCCCTGTTAGTGATTTGCTGCTGGTGGTCGACATTAACCTGAGAATATTTATCGCGATGATTATCGTAGTGTTACTGGAAAGTTATATTGAATTATTTTAGCTTGCCATTAAAGAGCAAGTAGAGGAGAAAAGACGGCTTAAGCAGGAAGAGAAAGAAAGAAGGATGAAAGAGGAAGCTGAGAAAGAAAGAACGCTAGCATTAGAGCGAGAAAGACTTCACAAACAGTATCAGGAAGAACTGAAAATGCGTCAAGAAAAAGAGGTGAGGATAATTGTTGTTAGTAAAATCCAACTAGTGGTCTATTATCAATGCTGCGTTCTGATTGGCTGAGCTACTACTAGGCTATATGTTATAGCCTACTAATAGCGAAAAGCGCGCGCTTTTTGGCGGCAAAAAAGGATTAAAGTCTAGCTTTAACTAGCTAAAATTTTTTTATTCTCGATATTTTTGACCAACTAGTTGGATTTTACTAAAACAATTATTCCTCTCGCCCTCATGGCCTCTGAGTCTATAGCCCATTCGGCCTTCTGCCTCATGGCCTATTGACTCAGAGCCCATTCGGGCTCGAAGAATAATTGTTAAATAGTAAGCTATGATGAGGCCCATAGGATCTGTATATGTTCTTGTGTTTGGTAGTTGTTATTAGATACTTCGGATGTGATATATCAAAATATGACTGCCACTGAATGTAAGTAGTACATCTTATGATTTGTGCTGGTTCCACTTTCCGTGATACGATATGTGATTAAACAGATATTTACATAGACATTCACCCTTGTTCCGTAGTCTTAACTAACAAAGTTCAGGGTGTCCGTGTATAATCTTAAGCGCTCTTACAATGTATGTTGATCGTCTCGATCGGGCTAAGGAACTAGAGTAGAAGTCAGAAATGCCCAGTGAAATATTGATATAACACAAGCAACAGCAACGATGTTTTACATCAGTGCGCTTAACTTTTTGTAAGATGAAGTTGTTGCTCTCGCTGTAATGTGATCGTTCCATTTCTAATCTTCTCTTACAGTAACACCTAGAATTTTTTTCACGTCGGTGTACTACTTGCACTTTAAAGTGACGTGTCTCTTGATTGCGTTTGGTAGGATGAAGCAAGGCGTCGGGCGGAGGCATTACAACTCAGTATTGTACAGGCGCACCAGTCCGCACAACAGGTAAGTTCTTTTTTTAGTAAAATAAGAGCCACGACCAATGACCAGTTGACCAGAACCATTATCAAAGAAAATGGAATATTTGATCATTCGAAGGGTATTTTGTCGTTGGTCTGAATTGGGCATGTTAAAAAGTGTCTTGAATATTCAAGATTCTTACCTATAACACAAGAGGTTGTTGTAAAATTTTGTTTGAGTTGTTTAATGGTTAGTTGATCTCTCAAAGCAGCTTCATCCTCCTCGGCTCCATTCGTTTTGTTGCTCCTTTCTCATTCATTTCCTTATTTACGTATGTATGTATTTGTTGACTTTCAGGAAAGAGCTGCAAAACGATTAAAGCATTTGGAGTCTGGTGGTCACGATGTATCTGGATTGCGATCCCGAATGGAAGAAGGTTTGTCATTTGTGAAGTTGCTTGGTCTGCAATGTGAGCGCTGGTCAACAACTGAACCTGAATAACTCAACATTGACTGATAAAGAGACCTCTTTCATAACAGGGGCGATTTATGTTTCCATACGTACTTTGATAAGTAATCTTGTCACAAGAACAGACACCATCAAAGACTGGAATTTTGATGAATTCCCTGTCCCTAACCTACCTTCTTTTTATATCATCGCTAACACTGACTTGTCCCCATCACCTCCTGCTCTTACCGTGCACGTTACAAAGACGGCTGGGAAGGAGTCAGTCATTAACATGAACCATCTTCTCATACATCGCGGTAAAGGACGTTTACTCAGTATTGAGCCTATCTTCAGTCTCCTTGCAGGTACCCTGGGCCCTCTTACTTGAAAAATATTGCCCTCTATAACTCCAGAAGAGGAGCCATGGGATCCTCATTGGCTAATTCCTAGATATTTAAGAATTTGTTCATGCTTAGCGTGCGTATATCGAGTTATGGATGCACGCGGGAAGTTTGGAGAGCACGAAAGATGCGTAAGAGTTGCACGAGGCGATAGCCGAGTGCAACTCTACCTTCTTGAGTGCTCTCCAAACTTCCCAAGTGCATCCATAACTCAATATACGCACAGCTAAAAGCATGAGCAAATTCTTTTATAACATAGCTGTCAAAAATGCTTGCTTTTCGATTAACTACAAAATTCTCGTAACGCGCGACACAATAACAAACGCTTCTATTGGCTGATTACAAACACGCCACAATGGTTTAGTTTGAATGAAAATTCTTTCTGAAAACTGAGAAAGAAAATTTGCTTATTTATTCGCTAACTATCAATGAAAACTAAAAAGAAACAAAGGAAAAAGAGTCTTAAAGTCCGCCTGAAGTGAAAATACTCACATGTTCGGAAGTCGTGGAGTACGGTTTGGATTTGCTTGAAAGATGTTTATGTTTGCTCGGCAAAATCCAGAAAACTTGTTTTTCAGCGAAGACGACTGTCATCCTACGTTAGCCTTATATTCATTTACGAACAATGGCTGGTCATTACGGCTTCTTGAGAAGACCCGGCAGCAGTTGTTTTTGTGAGTAATAAATTCATGTCTCCTTGTGTCATTTGTCTTGTTATTGCAAGAGAAATTTTCCTGCTTCAGTCGGATTGTTCGGCGATAACAAAAGTGTATAATTTTTTGCTGTTGAGCTTACTTTTAATTAACTTGTTTTGTAGGATATAAAACAAACGTTAAAAACGGAGGACACTTTGTACAAATTGGATATTTTCCGACACAGACCAATTTGTGGTCTTTTCTCAAGTAAATGTCAGTCTTTACGGCAGACTTTCAAGTTTCAACGAATCATGCAGGCTCTATTATTTGCGAAACATGTCACGGCTTTTGCTGTTGCTTTGAGTGGCTAGAACGAAGTTAAATTCCAAAAAAGTCTAGAAAGTTTTTTATCATTGCCGTCGATTTTTGGGTACTTAGGAAAAGGGACGAAAAACACAGCTGAACAGTACACGTCATCTTATTTACGCACGGGCGTGCGTAAATAAAGATTTTGTTCATAGCGGCTCAATAGGACTTATATCAGGGCGGATAAAGGTTGGGCGGTGAAACGAGCGCTCCGCTCTTCATTTAATGTGTGATGCGGAGTAGGACTGGCACGAGCGCTCTTTCCGCGCTTCCGGTGCGCTTGAAGGCCGGCGAAATTTTCCTTTTTGGAAACCGGAAATCCTATTTTCTTTCTGTAATTTCAGGCTACAATGTTAAATAGATAAATTCGTTTCATAACAATATCAATAAACAGTTTCATATGTTTGTGTCTGTACGTCTATAAGTCAAACTTGTTGGTCGTATAATGCCAAAATTTGAGTTTTATTTGAAAGTGTTGAATACCTCCCTCTTCCACTAAATATCACCTAATCGTCTTTCACCGTTTCGTTTGCAAAAGCTTAACACTTCTTAACCTCAATTTTTACATATGTTAAAGAGGGATAAATTTTATATAACATAACAAAAAATTAGATTGATATATATTGATATAGTGGCGTTGTACTTCTTCAAACTTTGCTTCTCGGGTGCAACGCGCCTTTGCGATTCGCGCAATGCGTTGCAAATCTGGCAACCGCATGTAAACAAAATTTATTGAGGTTAGTTGTAAGGTTTTTTCTCCGTTTTTCTCTCTAAAACAAAACAAGGTAAACAGTAAAAACTGAGGGGAAACTAATTTTGAAGTTTCGAAGTAACAGAAAGACGTATGAGATGTTTTTTTCAAAATTAAAAAGAAGGATGATGGTGATTGAAATTAGCATAATTTCACCTTGCACGAGCTGCACGCATTTATAAAATACACGTCATCTACTGCTGTCTTTTAGTTTTGCTAGGGATGACATGGATGAGATTTTCTTTCGTGTTTTAGACAGTACTTAGTTGTTTTTGTTTTGGAATAACATCGACATTGGCGAGTAGCAGAACGAAAATATAATTCAGTGGTAGAGTCATGGAAGTAATAAAAGAAACCCTTTGAAAGAGATGTTTGTCTACTCCAACTAAACCTCCCGGAAAAAAATAGCAACATTTGCCTCTCGGAGGCAGCGTACCATCACAAAGGAACGAGGAAGAAGTGCAAGAAAATAAATCAAGCTGCCATAATTCAGTGACAGCGGCAGTGTCTAATGTACAAACCACATCGCAAGCCCTGACCGATGACCGAAGTCGAAAACAAGCAACATTTCTAAGCAGAGTCCCAGTCCACTGCATCACACCTTTTTGCTCGGACGCGCTCGTTTCACCGCCCAACCTTTATCCGCCCTGCTTATATAGGGCAAGCACGCGCGCTATGTTATAAACCCTTTTTTGGCCTGTACTCATCTCCTGTATGTGCAACACGACAAAGTTAATACATTTATTTAGCACATTTTAAACAAGCAGGTATAATCATTTTGCGTTATAAGAAAAATCCCTAGTTAAACATTATTGTTGTTTATTTTTCTTCCCAGGTGACCAAGACACATCTATTTGGATGCGATCCACAGAAAGCTCGTCTTATGTAACGGAATATTCCCAGTTCAGTCCGCGAATAGAACGAACTGAGACGGGAGTACCGCAGGAGGATGATAGAAACAGTTCTTGGCAAAAGAACGCCCAACTGGAATCCGAGCTAAAAGAAATAAGTTTAAGTACATCATTGGAATCACAATGGACATCATCATCTCCGGTTCCTTCTCGAAAGAATGATTCTCAGGCGAATTCATACTTAGAATCGTCAAGACCAAGCAAAAAATCTACGCGGTCACAGTCAGAAAAAAGCCATAGAAAAAAACAACCGAGCAAACATCAAATCAGGAAACGCACTTCTTTGGAGAATGTAAAGCAAGAGGAAGTACCTGCCGCTCCTGCTTTACAAGATGCTTTTATGTTGCCCTACAGGCGGACTTCAAGTGCTACATTTGCTGTTGCCATGGATACCACCTCTCTGTCAGACCATGATACTACTGCTACTACTACAACTGATACAAGTAAACAGACAGGAAAGAAGGCAGACCAAGGTACTCTGAGAAAAACTAGAAATATAATAAAACACAACGAGCAAGTTAAAGGATCGGAGCGAGATGTCAATTCCAAAAATACCAGTATTTCTCTGACTGCGGAAAAGCGGAAGGTTAGACAAGTAAAGGCAAAGATTGCGGATGGAAAAAATGTGTTGGATACCGGAAAGGTTGGTCACCTTCTGATCTGGAATAATTCTTATTTCAATTCTTATTTCCATGGCTGTTGTAATGTTTGTATTATTCTTAGGCTGTCGGCGTATGTTTATGTTAAATCGAGTCAGATTTTCGTAAAATGTCATTTCTAGCAGAAATCAGTTGAAAGAGTCAAATATCCCCTTTCTCAGCGTAATCTTACATCCTATATACTACTAAAGCCCCATCATCCGCAGTACCAACTTAACATGTTTATTTTAACCAGGTTTTAAAAAAATGAAAAACCTTAACGATAAACTAGTACACGGGGTACACGGGGTCTTACACTGGATTCAATTGAACTTTAACTTACTCCAGTGTAATTTGTGTTAAATATGCAGTCGATAATAGTCAGTAAGCAGTTTTTTGAAGACAACAATTCTAAACCGTGTTTAACTAAATAACTTTTCAACATGTTAAAAATTTGTTTTGCATTGGGGATAATTCTCGCTTAAGAAAGCTACCTTGGGCGCTTGCTAATGGTGAGAACTGGCCGACTGCCAATCGGTCACTTTAGATATGAAATGCACTTATAGTGAAATAAGCCATTTCCGAGTTCCCCGGGCCTCTGTTTCAAAACGAGGGTAGGTGTTCAGCCGTTGATATGGAAATCATTTTTCATTCTCATGCAAATGAAACTTATTTTCATAAGAAAGGTTGTGCACCTAGCCTCATTTTGAAAGTGAGGGTTTTTGGAACTCGGAAGTGGCCTATTCTCTTCACAGCTGGACTGGTCTGGCCTTTTCTGGCTCACAGTATTAAAGCTCATGCACTAATTTCAAATTGCACCTGGTTAATGATTGCTAACAATTGTGTTTAGATCTCTCCAGAGCCATTACCTACAGCACGCCAGGAGATGATTTTACAACAACTTGCTTCTCTTAGACAAGTGAGTTTAAATCATAATTAATTACTACAGTATATATTCCTCAGATATTGTTAATTTTACAATAACTGAGCGATTTCTTGCGCCCTGATTGGTCGAGAGCTATGGTCGATAAGAGTACAGATCATGGAAATGACATCATGGTGGCGCAATTTCTTTTACTCTTTCTTGCGCGAGCAATGTTTACTGAGAAACTTCGACGGAAATGGATGTTACAAACTGCCTATGTTATTGTAAAAAAACAAGCTAACAACAAGTTTCCTTTGTCTGTACTCTTAGCGGCCATACGGCTTGCTGTTCGTGGTTCCAACTGAGTTGTGAACATTTTTACGTCATTTCTATGGTGAAGTTAATAAATAGATTCCATGTTGCCGTGCGTCTATTCAGTAATAGATCACAGATGACGTCAAAACTGAATGTGTTGAAAACAAAGAAGTGGCACTGCAAAGTTTTGAACATTTTGACGTCATGTCTATGGAGGGTATGAGTATAGATTATGGAACATTGTGTCGATTTGTTAAGTTGATACTTCGAAATTTGTGACAACGTTAATGCTTGTTTTTTTTTTATCCCAAAGGGTTTAATGATGAAGGAACGAGAACTCACTTATAGTGCGCTGTAAAGAGCACAGTTGCAGCTCCACTTCCGTTTTGAGTAGAGGAATAAATAGAGGAACATTGACTGTCAGATTTGTGGTGTCACTGATGTGTTATCACCGTCTGACGTGTTTGTCTATGTGTTACTTTTAAGTGAAGCTTATAGACTGGGCCATTACAGCACGGCCCCATCAAGGTGGCTGGTATCTGTTATTTCGGAGGATTAGTGGCTCGAGAAAGTATTAATGGAATACCAGGAAGCAATGTAAATAGATTATAAAAATGTAGTTAAACTGGTAACTAGAAAAAGCAACTATTAAAAAAGACAGGAATCTGGTTCGTGTTTAGTGTGTTGTGCTGCCACTGGATTACAGTCGACTCCTGATAACTCGAGCCTTCAAGGGAAATAGGAATCAAAAAGTTCGAGTTGTAGTGAGATCGAATTATCGGGATTTCGGAACAAACACCCGGAAATAAGGGAAAAAAAACAGGTTTTACTGTACCTTGTGGACTTTGATCAGATTTTTATTGTTGCTGCTATCTAGACAGACCACTTCGAGAAACTCCGATAACTTTATAATAGAGTGGGAAACTGACCATGTTCTGTTCTGATGAACAGTCCGTTCATCTGTTTGAGTAAAATGTACACCACGCGTGCACTGTTCTAGTTTATTTTGCTCGCGCTTTGTTCAAATTTAAAATCTTGCGTGTACTTTTATTTTCGCGAGGCGCCCTATTTAAAGTCGCGTAGCGAGCTTTGAGTTCAGTTGTTAAACTGATTTTAAGCTGACCAGTTTCAACCCGTTTATTGATAACCAGAAGTTGCTAACCAGATAAACAGAAGTTGTTAACCGGAAAACCAGACTGTGTAAATGTGAACTGTTTTGTTTAAATACGGAGGCAGTTATAGAAGTAAATGTAAAGTCGATTTTGTTGTTGTGTTAGGTTACTTTCTGTTCATTTTCTACATTGTACTTAGGCCGAGTGCATACGTGCCAACGGACATGTTTACTTTATTTCAGATCGAATTGTACATTCATGTAATTAAAATACGATTCTACCCTCGTATTTGGTCTTTTTAGCGTCTTTGGTCAACCAAACAAGCATTCGATATCTATTGTAAACAAGTTTCCCGAGAGCAAAGACAATGGCTAAGGATCTTCTAAAGAAAACGAAGATTAACCGAAGAAATACTAAGGCAGCAATGACGAGCGCATGAAAATCACTGCGCCATGTTATAGGAAGTTAGCGACCAAGAGAAGTGGTAAGAGAAGCCTTACTTAAACTTCAAATTGCGTTTGAGACACTGATGGTGCAACATGAAGAATTCGCGAAACTTATTGAAGACGACCAAGAGTTTGAGGCCCAAGAAGCTTGGCTAGAGGAGAGTCAAGAGTTCTTTATGAATTTAGAGACTGATACAAAGTTGTATTTATATAGTACAGAAGAGCTACAAGGCAATGTGCGAGTAAATAGTATGGAAACTCTATCTAGTGACACTGAGAACTTTAAGAAAAGTGATACTCCTAGCAAATTAAGGGTAGAAAGTAACAACATGAGCGATACTGTTGTTGATAATGTTATTAAGGAAACTAAAGCATTAGACATCAACAACTCAATGGATATAGTAAGAGAAATAGTGAGAGCGTTGGTAAAGTGCTGACTAAGGAAACATCCAAAATGTCGAAATTCTGTGGAAAAGTTAGGGATTACGCAATTTTCAGATCTGATTCTTAGCATGCTATTGAAGCCAGATATTGAAAGCGAGACTCAATAACTATATTACGTACCTGCCTGAAAGGACACCGCTCGATTCAGTCAAGGGAACTGGCTCATGTTGGGGATAAGCACAGATTTGTTCAACTCGAACGGTGAAAACTAAAATAAAAATGCAAAACTTGTAGGTAGAGAGCCAAATAGAACTGAAAAACGAACTAAATAAGCTCAAATACTCACAAGTTCTGTGCTCTCACTGCCATAAAACAACGCAACAACTCTCACAGATCAACACGCTAGTCACATGGAAAAAGAGGTCACGTGACCAGCGCTCAGGTCCCTATCAAAAAACCCTAACAGTTTTCGGATAATTATCATGCTCGATGTTTAAATTAGATTTGTCCCGAACATCCCGGCCGCCTTGGGGCGATCGCGTAGAACGTCCCAACAGTTAAACTCAGCATCTACATCGTATCTACTTCTTTCACATCGTTCTCAAGCAAGCACAACTTCTTTATAGGACGAACATAGACAGCGTCCTTAGTCTTGACCTTCACAGTCCGTACTAGACCATCTGGACCCGGGTACGTCTCCAACACTCGGTCTAGACTCCAATGCCCTCTGGGGGTGTTGTCGTTAACAAGCAGAACCAAGGCGTCGGGTTTGATATTAGGCAGCACTCTTCGCCATTTACCTCGTTGTTGGAGGGTTGGGATGTACTCCTTCAACCACCTTTCCCAAAAGAAATTGGCCAAAAATTGAACCTGCCTCCACTTGTTTCTATAAATGTCAGTCTTCTCAAAGACTCCAGGAGGCAAACAGATGATCTTCCTCTGCATCAATAGGTGGGCAAGTGTTAGTGGTTCGAGATCGTTCGGATCGTCCGAGTTTGCTGGAGGGCTCCTCCGTTAAGGATACGCTCAACCTCAGTAAGGGGTGCTCGTAGAACCACATCTGTCACAGTTAGCGCCCCCAAAATAGACTTTAAGACTGTCTTTACACTTCGAGCCATACGTTCCCACACGCCAGACGTACTTGACGCAGTCGGGGGTTGAAATACCCATTTACAGCCTCGTTGTATCAGCTCTGTCTCTATCTGCCCTTGGTTCCATTCCCGGTAGCCTGCGAACAGCAGACGCATTTCCGGTCGTCGCTTCTCTCCCACCGGAAATGCGTCTGCGCTTCGCAGGCTACATTCCCGGAGACTCTTCTTCAATTCTCGTTCGGATCCAACGAAGTTAGAACCATTGTCACATCGTAACTCTTTCACGTCTCCCCTTCGATTTATAAAACGCCTTAAACACAATGAACTCATCACTATCCATAGAATTAAACACTTCAACTTACAGGCTACGGGTGGTTAAACAGGTAAACAAGCAACACCACCGTTTCGCGGTTCTTCGGCCATGTTTCACATAAATCGGGTCAAAGAGGTCCAAATCAGTGAACGAAAACGGTGGCTCATAGGCTGTAAGTCGACATTTGGGTAAGGACGCCATCTGCTGGGTCATATGTTGGGCGTTAAGTTTCTTGCAGGTAAGGCATTGATTAAGGACCGATCTAACCAATAAACGCAATTGAGGGATCCAGAAATCTTCCCGCAACTTTGCTATAACATGTTCGCGTCCCAAGTGACCAATAAGGTGGTGAATGTGACGAACAATCAACTTGGCGACCCGATGGTCTCTGGGAAAAATCATTTGTTGGCCTAGTGCACAGGAGGTCGGCTTGAGCTGACCACGGCCATTAACTCTCAGGATTCCGCCTTCGTCAAGTTTGGGATTCAGTGAAGCAACCACCAAGCTTGACGGCTTGACCGCACCGTTCGACTTCAAATCTTTAATCTCCTGTACATACGCCAATCCTTGGACAATCCTCACAAAATTTTCGACCGGTGAATTTCGCGCCAAACAGGTATGAAAAGTCCTTTAAAATGGCAAACAACCAGGAAAAAAAAAAAAAACTTGTAGAAACTCTGACTTTCACATTAACTATAATACACCTTGTTTACCCCCGAAAAATTTCGCGTTAGTATTGTTTTCAAGTTCTCCTGGGAGGATTGTAAATTCCAAGAGAAACTGGAAACAATGGTTATGCAAAACGTTTGGGGATAAGCAAGGTGTACTATGGGAATGTGAAAGTAGCGAATTACCTGTGATGGTAGCAAGGTATCAAGACCTTGCCACAGTTTTGGCCTAGCGGTCCTGGGTCCGAGTGAGGAGTGTTTACGTAGCGTCTGGACCCAAAGAACGCGCGTTGAAGGGTGTCACGTGATCAAGAATCGCGTGTGGTTCGTGTTCGTTAGGGCCGCGGTTGGAGTTAGGGTTCGTGTTATAGTCGGAGTAGGGTCGGAGAAAAATATTCTCGGTATGCCTTCAGAAACTCATTTATTAATAAACTCGTAAGAACGGGTTTATATTTGTAAACAAACGGTAAACCGGAGACATGTGGGAGTGGAATTTCTGTCCCCTCATGCGAACATTTATGAGAGCACGCATGCGCATTACGATAAAAGGTTCATACGATCATAAAACACATAATTTAATTCTTGAAAGCGATATTTACGAAAAAAAATGTCTTACGTTTTGACTTAGAAGTTGTGAGATTGCTACTAGATCTAATATGATCAGGTAACTGATTCCATAGCTCAGAGGTGGAGATGGCGAAAGCCCTAGCACCATAGATCTTCTGTTACTTTGAAGGTGAAAAGAAGAATTTAGAATTTAAGGTGTTGTATTGTCAACCTTCAACTGCATTGGAGAGACTAGCGATTGTCGCATCAACCTTAGAGTCTACACAAGCCACCCACACTCGACTAACGACAGCTACGGGAGTGTATGAACGTATTTGTCGTTTCAATTCCAAATGAAAATTAGAAAGAAAAATTAATAAGTGAATTCGAAATGGATTTTAAGAAATCTTGTTTGAGCTCTGGTCCAAGTTCTACCTATACCAGGTCTAAAGAAGGGGATGGATTAAAGAGGCCGGGTCTGAAAACGGGTGTGGAAAATAACATTTTTTTTAGTATGAAATAAGATCAGGATTTGGAGAACCGGGCGGCACACGCCACCAAAAATTCCCGGAAATACCCCCCCGGTTACCTACCCAGTATCTAAGAGAAATACTCTATCTTATATTAACAGAAAACTTGTTCCAATTTTGCAGTAGCAACTACCTACAGACCCATGTAACAACCATAGGAACGAATATAGCCGTTGCTTTTGTTAACATCTTCATGGCCAGAATAGAAAACCAAGTATTGAGACAAAGGCGTATTAAACCATATTCTGGGTACCAGAGGATTTTTTTCGCGTGCCGCTGGATGCTTCGGTGTCGGCTGCAGGCCGAGTGATCTTTGGCCCAAGGCAGAAATCAGTAGAGGCGTACCCGCGAGGAAAAAACGCGAGAACAAATGCTTTTCACGTGGGTCACTATGAAGACTTTACCGAATCGGAAACCGCGCATGAAAAGTCTCTTGGCGCCCGGCCAGGGTAATTGAGCCGCTGTTTTGGATTGGCTATGAGTTTTTCAAATGGAACACAAGTCTAGACAAATTAGAGAGCTAAAGTCGTGGAAAAGGCAAATCCAGAACTTCAAAATATTGCGTGTTGGTTCACTTCAAAGGAACTTTCTTTAAATCTTAAGAAAACGGACTTTATGATTTTTAAAACTACGAGAAAGAAGTTAAAAAAAACTATTGAAATTATAATTAATGTTCAAAAAATAAATCAAGTTATAATTAAATGCAATCAATTTCTAGGTCTTAATATAGATGAGGAACTCTCTTGGAAAGATCATATTGATCAGGTTGCAACAAAAATATCGAAAATGACAGTAACTTGTTACTTTTTTAAATGTAGTAGTGACTGTAGATGTCCGCACAGCAAGTTGACTGTTAAAACGTCGTCTCATTTGGAGAGAATAAACAGACTCGACCGCGATTACTCGTATTGGTAATTTTTATCACTTGTTTGCCCCCTGAAAAACCTCGTGACATTGCTTTTATCCCATCAATCCTAAAGCGCGTGCAAAGATGGCGGGGATCTTGAATAAGGTCTATTACCTTCTCATCGATATCTCCCTCCTCCCAACATTGAATCCCTACATTTTCGCCCCGAGTTCTCCCTTCTCCCTATTATGGACCTCTTCCATCTATTTCTTGCGATGTTTGCCAAATAAAAACCAATCCACTAAAATATATATATATATATATATATAAAAATAGCCGTTTCAGGTGTCAATAGGCTTCAGCGCAGTGACCCCGCTGTTGGGCATATTTTCTGTAATA